CAAAAAGGAATGCTCTTTGAAAACATTGAGCCTATTTACTTTTCTTTTTACTATTTACTAATTTTTACTATTTACATTTTCTTTTACTATTTACTAATTTGCTATTTAATCATGTACTAATTTCTATTTTCTAATTCTAGTATGAGATTTTAAAATTAAAAAGAAATTACACTGAAATTTTAAAAATAGATCAATTGTTCGAATCATATATAAAATAGGCATATCCACTAAAATGTTATTGCTAGAATAAGAAGTTAGAATTAAGTGCACATACACTAATTAAAACATACACATAAGTATTTCTCACTGATCCTCTTAACTTTAATCTTCATAAAGAGAACTGGTATTATTATCTTATTTTAGAGATGATAAAACTAAACTTGAAAATAGTATGCAATTTTGAGAAAAAGATTATTATTATTATTCTATTCCTTTTTGTTTGTTTATCTTTTGAGACAGTCTCACTGGTCAGGAACTTGTTTAATAGACCAGACTGGCCTTGAATTCAGAGCTCTGCCTGCCTCTGCCTCCCAAGTGCTAGGATTAAAGGAATGCAGCACTATGCCCTCTCATACACATATATATGCATACTAACAATTTTTAATAACATATCAGTGTAGAAGTCATAAACCAAGAAACTAACAAATCTGACTACCAAATGGATGTCTTCTGGGTCTATGACGACAGATGAGATGAAAAGAATGATAAAGAATAAAATTGTTCCATGAAATCTTTTTGTTGAAAGAAAAAAAGTCATAGGAGACATTAAATTGAAGAGATGTAATTACAACTAAGGTTTTGAATAAATCAATTACTTTATTTATATAACAAGAAAAAAGTAGTTAAGCATAAAATCACAACAACAGACATGGCTATAGCCTATAACCTATAATCTAAAATCAATAAAGCTACCTGAAGAACACAAGGCAAATACTTAAATTCAAAGTAGTCTCTGGAATAAAGTTAGTCCTGGGGCTATACGTCAGAAACCACCTATGTAGCTTTTCCAAACTGTAAGTTATACCCTAACCTCACAGAGATCTGAAGAGAAACACAGTTCTTCAAGATTAAAGCCCAGACAGACTTCTGAAAAAGCCTTCTAACTTAGTCTAAATACTCTAAAGACCAAGTTCTCTAAAACACAAGGAAGTAAAAACAACAATGAAGTTATTCAGGGAAGCAACCCAAAGTTCAGATCCAAGTATAGATGAGATTATGAATAAAACAGGCAAAACAATCAGGGCTAGTTGTCATTTCTTTTTCTATTCCACTCACAAGAAAGAAAGAAAGAAAGAAAGAAAGAAAGAAAGAAAGGAAGGAAGGAAGGAAGGAAGGAAGGAAGGAAGGAAGGAAGGAAGGAAGGAAGGCAGGAAGGCAGGAAGGCAGGAAGGCAGGCGGAGGGAGGGAGGGAAGCTTATTCAAGGGAAGCTTATTCAAGTACAACGTAGAAAACATTCTAAAGCTAGATTTTGACTGCTTTCTTTAACAAAGTATTATTTTGAACTATTATCACTCCCTCATTATTACAAAAGAGCACACAAATGATGGTCATACTAACCAGAGTTGAGAACAGTGAATAGAGTGCCTCTGTCTAATAGAAATCCTATGTAACAGACTTTGCCTGGGACCCAAAGGAGCAAACATCTAATATTAATACACTCTCAAATATCATCTTTATTCATGCTGGAAAAAAAGTAACTAGAAGTTATCCTTTTTTCTTCCTGACAGGTCCATCAAAACCTAATTCAAGCCAGACCCGGTCACTCACACCTGAAATTCTAGTACTCAGGAGGCTGAGGCAGGAGAATCAGGTCATCATAGCTACATAGCTATCCTGAGCTACATGAAACCCTATCTGAAAAAAAAAAAAAAAACAACAACAAACCAACATCACACACACAAACACACATATACATATATTCAATATACCCAGCTGACTTTCAAGCAGGAGGCATTCAACTGACATATCTACCCAAGGCAAACCAAAAGGAAGGAAACACTTTGCAGCAAGGTTTCACTGCTATGGGTACAGGAAAAAACCAAGTCCTAAGGTTTTTACCTGCTAGAATGACAAAGTAATGTTTAAAGTCTTTCCTAGAATAAAAAATACATGGCAGCATCAAATCATCTCTATTACGATTTCAGACTTAAATGCAAGAGATTCCGTTAAATACAAATTTCACATGAACAATTATTTTTGGATAAATGTATTCTCATTTGCAATATTCAGATCATGTGCTCATAAACACAATTATTCAGAGAACACAGATGGAAGAAAATTGAGACAAAATCATTCTGAGTCCCTTAAATTGTTTTTGAGAAAAAAGACCACACACACCCTGTGTTCCTAACTGTGCTTTTGCCCGTCATGTCATTTTCTCCACTAATTCTCTTTGTTGCGCATTACTAATTTTGATAACACTTTTATCTCTTTTTCATGTGTTTCGTTTCTGAAATATTTGTGAGCAGTCTTACTTTTTAAAAAAAAGGAAGTCATTTGTTTTAGCTAACCACTCCTAACTTCCAGCTCTATTATTAAAGTGTAAGCAGTCTCTCAGCTGCATTCACTTTTATTAGAGAAAAAAAAGAGGTTATCTTGAAATTCACATACAGAAAGTTGGTGAGTAGTACAGTCTACAAAAATAATTTGTCTGTGCTTCCTGTTATGTGATACAGCAAAATAATACTAAAGAAAAAATGTGACTAAACACAAACTTTCTAAAATTTAAAGCACATTTCACCAAAGACATACATATTAATCATTAGTAATCACAATATGTGCCACAGAAGGTATCTGTGCCCCCCATTTTGTTCTTTTTAAGAAATAATGAGAAGCTTTAAATATGGACATAAAGTAAATAAGAGTAAATAGAATAGAATCACAAGAATAATGATTTTGCCTACTACAACTAATCATATCAAAAGGCTAGAATCAAAGCACAGTATTTTTAAAAGGACAATGAAAATCAATTTAATGGCTAGAAAGGAAGTCATAATTTGCTAATTTACATGAACAATAATTAGATACATCATGTAAAATCCTGTTTACTTGTGGCATTTATATGATTCTGCTTATTCGACTGTGATCTATGATACTTTTACACTATAGGCACCACATATTCAATTACACATACCTATTTACATATGGCATCTAGAGAGAAATGAACAAATGGTCTTAAATGCTTGATAATCAATAAGAATACTTTTCAAGCTTTCAATACTACACTACAAAATAATCCAAATTAGTGATAAATTGAGCAAATTTTGTTGCTCTTAACTTAATGGAATGGGGATTTTATATGTATTTCATAATTTTTTCTCTATATGGCCTTTATAACTGATAATGTACCCAGACTCCTTTAAACTATATTTTCCCTTCAGGTTTCAAATAACCAAATTACAATTAAAATGACACGATGTATTTTAAATAGTCTAATTAGTGTAGCCCTTGATTAAGAAAAAAGCAAGAAGATAACAACACTACAACTTACAGATTTATTTTCTTTTGTTTGTTGGTTTTTTTCCCGACAGTACTGAGGATCGAACCCAGGGCTTCACAGAAGCTGAGCGAGCCCACTCTCAAGAGCTACAACCTGAACACAACTTTGAAATTCTTGTCATTTCTTTAAAAACTGCCCCGTTTAATTTTGGGAACCATTTGTATAGTAACACAAAAGATGTATCCTTAGACAAATTTCAATTGTATGACACTTCAAAATCATGGCTGTCTAACAGTACTTTGTGTAATAAATGGTTTTTCTTTTGAAAAAGTTCAAGTATTACATTCATGTACTACATTAAAATCCTGTTAGGTAGAAGGCAGAGCTGTTTTATTTAACAAAGCCTGCCACCCTACAAGTCTCTTGCAACATCTCTTTCTGGTTACAGTGAGTTAATGAAGTATTTGGAGCCTTCTTTGTACTTTTAATATGAACATGAGTTCCATTTACGAATTTGCAAGATTACCTGAAAGTCTGGGTTCATTTAACTGGGTAAAGAGAAAGTTGAAATATTTTAAACTCCACTTGTTTTCCCATGCAAACCACAGACAAACTGAAGTCAGGTGTCATGTGAGACACCCGGCTTCCTTCAGGGCCTACAGCAGGAGGTAAGGCATTGTTCTGTTCAACTCTCGGGCGTTCAGCGAGCCTGCTACTTCCTCTTCTCGGCTGGACGCCGGCCGCCGGCTCCTCAGTGACCCTCGGGGTCGCTGGCAAGACCGGGGTGCGCACCCGCCGGGCCGAAGGTGTGGCTGCCGTCCCCTCCGCCCGGAAAGCCGCCGCCGCCGCCGGGGGCTGCGGGACGAATCGCCCGGCGGGCGCGACGGCGCGGCTGCGGTGCGTGGAGAGCGAGCGCGCAGTCCGCGTTCTCCCCGACGCGCTCCCTCCAAGGACACTCACTGAGTGACCACGTTTCCCTCCCACTCGCTACTTTCCCACTGACTGTAAAGCACAGTCGGAAACTCGCCTCGCCCTCTCGCGAACAAAAATGCTGGAGCAGGCTGCGAGCCGACGTCTCTGAGACGCGAACTAGACGCGGAAGCCCTTCTGCTCTACGGGGGGAAGCTCGTGTTTTCTCCCGGAACGAGGGGACACGCCACTCGGCGCGACCGTCAGCCCAGCGCGGCCAGCTACGGACACAACGGGGCGAGGAGCGCTCGCCCGAGGCCGGAGGTTCGGCTTCTCGCTCGTACACCGCGGCTCCACGCCGCTCTTCAAACGTCCGCCTCCTCGATCGCGCCCACCCCGCTAGCCCCACGCCGGCGGGGAGTGGAAGGGCTGGCTGTCTCTCACCAGCGGGCCCACTACCGTGCGCCGCTTCGGTGTCGCTCGCAGACCCCGGAGCGGTAACTTTTTAAACGGCTGACAGTTTGCCAGACGAGACGACTCGAAAGGCAGAACGAACGTCCCAGCCCCAAACCGGGCCTCCCACAGCTCCTTCCCGGGTCTCGCAGACGGTGCTCCCCCGGTGCTCACCCCGGTGCTCACCCCGGTACTCACCCGAGGCCATGGCTCGGCTCCGCGCGCCGCCCGCGGCAGCTCCCAGCGTCCGGCCGGCCAGACAGTCAGTCAGTCAGTCAGTCAGTCAGTCAGTCAGTCAGTCAGTCAGTCAGTCAGTCAGCCACTCTGCCGGCCAGACAGTCAGACAACGAGCCAGCCGGCCGGCCAGACAGTCAGTCAGGAGGCGAGCAGCCTCGGCAGCCCGACCCGAGTCCTCTGCCCACGCCCGGGCCTCCTCTCCTTTCCCGGCCCCCGGTGGCTTTGCGGCTCACACCTTCCCACCCCCGAGTCTTCACGCTCGGGTCACTGGTGTCCTGGCGTCGCCCTGCCAGGATGCCGCGGCAGGGGCAGGGGGCGGGGCGCACCGCCGGCGGAACGGGGATTTCCCGCTGCTGGCGTCACTCGCGCCGCCGCCTACCGGGGGCGGGGCGGGGCGGAGCCTCGGGGGCGGGCGGGACGCGCGCGCTCCCGCTCCCCTCCGGCGCTCCGGCGCCCGGCGCGCTTGCGCGAGGGGGGCCCCCGGGGGACGCGCGCGGGCGCGCGCCAAGCCGCGGGGCCCCGGAGAAATCCCCCTCCTCCGGGGGCCTTCAGAAGGCGGCTGGCCGCCCGGGGCCGCGGGGCGCGCCCGTGACGTCGCGCGGCCGGAGGCGGGTCCTCGGCCGCCCGAGGCCCGCCCGGGGTTTCCGGAGCGGTGGTTCCCCCTCTTCCCTGTTTCGCACATGCAAATCTCCGCCCCCGCGCCGCAGCGCGGCCGTCCGCCCGGGAGCCCTCGGAGGAAGTGCGGAAGCGCCCGCGCCCGCGATCGGCTGCTGGGCGTGGATTTGCATACGGGGACCCCCGCAGTCTGATTTTCCCTCTGGGTCGACCTTACGTCTTTTACGTCCCAAGCGTTCTCAGCCCCCAGGGGCTTGCGCGGCGTCCAGAGATTTGACCGAGATACCCACCACCTGAGGCCGGGGCCGAACTTGCACGCGTTGACAGGTCCGGCGGAGTCTTGGTTTGCCTCCGCTGCTCGTGGCTGCCGGGTCTCTGGGGTGTGCCGTCTTCATTGTATGCGATCGAGGTCTGGAGAAGTAGCCTGTCGGTACTTGAGAGTGCACGACTTAAGCTTAAGGTTCCCCAGCCCAGTTTAATGCACTCCCCGCAGTCCTGAGGCTGCGGCAGGTGGATTGTCTCAACTTCAGAAGTAACCTGGGATTAACTGGCTCCACCTCCTGCGCTCCCCAGTCACTTACTAAAACAAGTGTGGAGGGGAAATTAAAAAAAAAAAATGGCATCCTGAATGCTGACAAGATGGCTTAGGGGGTATCTGCACTTGCCACCAAGCCAGACAACCTGAGTTCAACACATGGAAGGAAGAGGACCAACTTCCAACTTAGGAAAGTTGTCTTCTGACCCCCACGTGTGCCCGAACGCATGCGTGCACTTGGAAGGACGCCAAAAAAGTTAATTAGATAATTAAAATATATGCCATCCTGTCATACAAGTACCCCAAAGTGAAGGACACTCCTAGGGAAACAATTAAAATCTGTCAATTCAGAAGTGTCTTCACAAATAGTATAAATAGAAGTTGTTTTCTTTTATTAAACACAATCATAGGCAAACAACAAAGATAAAACAGCAAAAGCAATTAGTAGGGTGACTTATGTCCAGTCAGCGCGCGCGCGCGCACACACACACACACACACACACACACACACACACACACACACACACACACACACACACACGAACACTTCAGCCTTAATGTAGACACATTCATACAATATATTTTCTACTTGCTTAATTGTTTTTACCTAAAGAAAAAGTAAATAGGAAGCTACATCTGGAAGCCAAGAGAGGTTTAAATTCTCCTGGAGCTTTTAAGGAGGCTGCCAGTCATGGGGGTTTATAGAGAACAGCATGTGGTAGTTTTAGCACTGGGTGTTACAGGTGTCTATAGTCCCAGCTCACAGGAGACAGAGGAAGGAGTACCAAGGGGTTCAAGGTCAGACTTCACCTTATAATGAATTTACAAAGCCTATGGGGGAGTCTGTCTCAAAAATATATAAATATTTTTGTTACTTTATTTCTATAAAGAAAGTAAGGTGACTGGAGTAATAGAAATTGCTTGGGTTTCCTAGACGGGATAGTGTATGGAAGTGATCCTTGAGCTGAGCCAATGATCGCTATGGAAAAATCTAACCATGCAACTGATGTATACTTACATTTGGAGATTTTGCCCTGGCTGACATGTTAAACTATTAGCGTATGCTACCTGGGTGAAGGTAGAGCAGTTAGGCTGTTGTAGTGATGGAAATGAGACCTTGATTGTACGAGTGTTTGTGCAGAGGAGATGCTACAAGGAGGTCAGGTATTTGATGTCAGGGCCGGCTCAGAAAATTGGAACAGCTGAGGATTTTTTTTAATGAACTTGATTTTGGCAAACTAGAGTACTGGGCTGGCTGATGCCAGAGAGTCTGAAGTTCAAGGCTAGCCTAGGTTAGCTCAATCAAATAATTTTTTAAAATGGAGGTCAGTTGTGACTTGACAACTGAGCTATAAAAATGGTGACCATAAAGGTGAATTGAAGCAGGTTTGAGGAGAGACTGATGGACGTAGTAGGTGTAAGCTTTTCGAAGAGTGTTAAGAAAACGGAAATGGAGTACTAGCTGCTGCAGGGTGTGGATTTATATTATGCTCAGGGCTGTCGCTAACAACCTCAGTTTCAGCAAGTTAGTACAAGCCCCCTGAGTGTTGACTGGCTGTCCTCCAGGAGTGACCCAGGTACCTTCCATATTACAGTACCAACGTTGAGGAGAACAGGCTGGGCCTGCTCTGCCTTTCTCTGTGATGTGGAATATCACTTTTCAGGCTGTCCCTAGCCTGCAGTTGGACTGGTTGTCCAATCTCCCATCTCTTCTTTGTGCCTGTGTATGCTTCCTGGCTCTGAATTCTGTAGCCTCTTTACCCTTTCTTAGATACGGTTTAACCTGTTATATTGCTTAACCAGATATGCGTGTATACACACGCATATGTATTGTTTGACCTGACCTGAGAGTTAATGCCAATAACTGAGGTTAAAATAAAAGAGCTGGTCTCCAACCAGCAGCTGGAAGCTACTTGGGCCAACAAAATTGATGTAGGCTGTGGATTTATCTGTACTCAATATATTCTGACGTTATAGAAAGACACAATCATATCTGTCCATGTTTCTGACATGCATGCCCATAACAAATATGTAACACCTTTAAGGCAGCCTTGCCAGGGGAGAGATGGGGTCACAAGTGAAAGATTTATGTGGGGTTGGCACAGTCTGCCTCCCTATTACTGCACACTAGGACAGTAACAGTGCCTTGGATGCCAGAGAAATTAGGAAACAGAAGTTTGAGGCCGGTCTGTGCTACAGAGTAACAGGGAAGGAGGAGAAGAGAGAGACAAACAAACAAAAAGTAGATGTGGGTAAGTGCTGCCAGCCTCTGGGGTGGAAACTTCCTTCCCAGGTGCCGTTCATTGTGCAGGGAAGGGTGGGCTGGGCAGGAGGTCAGCGATGCTGGTGGTGCTGCACAGGCAGACCCCTGCTGCAACCGGGGGGACTAGCAGCTCCCTTCGGTAGCCAGCAGACTTCTCACTTGGCTCTACAAGGCTTTAGACCAGTGCTTCCTAACACTGAGACCCTCAACAGTTGCTCATGTTGTGCTGACCCCAACCAGAACACTTTCTTTGTTGCTACGTCATAACTGTAATCTTGCTACGGTTAGGAATTGCAATGTAAATATCTGGAGGGGTCCAGCTCCACGGGTTGAGAACAACTGCTTTGGAAATAGGACGAAAGACTGGTGTCTGACCTTTGCTTGGTGTCTGTAGTCTTTACTCTGACTGCTGCTTCAGACGTCACTGCCACATCAGGCCGTTGTGTGGGTTCTCGGGGCTCGGACGCAGCTCCTTGTGCTCGTTGGGTCATCGCTTTGCTCACTGGTATGACTCTCCAGCCCAGGAGCCATGTTTGACTCACTGTTACCTCCAGCCTACCCTACAACATCCGCCCACCATCTATCCTATTTCGATGAATTTTATTTTCTTTCCACGGTAGGGATTACACTTAAGGCCGGAGAAATGTTTGGTCTTCTGATATTGTTATGACACATGGTCACCTAGAAAGTTCACACATGAGAACAGCATAGTTAAGTTGCAAAGAAAAAAACTTACCAAAAAAAACCCTCATTCTGTTTTAAGTGTCCATGATTTTGTGTTTGGTTGCACCATGGCTATCCTGGGGCACGTGATCGGTGGACTTTAGGTTAGATCTACCTGGAAACACGCTAAGCATGCCAAGCCTGCCACTGAGCTATGGCAGTAGCCCTCTTCTTCATTTTGACTGTCACTGTCATTGGGAAGTCTTTGTGATGTCTCATCGGAACAACTGGAATGTTCTAAGTATTTTTACTTCTGTCCCTTTAAAAATCTACTCAAACCTACTGCTGCCTGAGTCACTGGTGTGGATGCACACCAGGCCACACCATATTTGTGATTTAAAACCATCCTTGGGCCCAAACGCACAGTTTCCAGTCTCTTTTGTAGCCTAGCTACTGCCTCCGTCCTGGGCCATCTGCTTTTGATCTCTCCCCTCTGCCTACCGTAACTCCTTCCTAGAGACATGCCATGTTTATGCATTGAAATTTTCAGTATTGCCAAATAATCGATTCCTAGCTGTGATCCCTGCACACGCATTGACTTGTTTTCAGCAAAGTCTTCACTGCAGTTCTGAGCCTATGGGTATCTATGATTTATTTTATCCTGAAACCTGCTTATAATATCTATTCAGTTTGGTGGCAGCTGTGTCTTTTGTTCTTTCAACAAAAATCTTATGGAAAAATTTTACTTTTTATTCTTTTAGTATTTTATCTGGAGTCATAGATCCAGAAGACATCCATTTGCTACTTAGATTTGATTGTTGCTTGAATTATGAATCCTTCACTGCTCTGTTAAGAATTATGAGTGTGTGTGTGTGTGTGTGTGTGTGTGTGTGTGTGTGTGTGTGTGTGCGCATATAGGCATGGTGGTTGCTTTATCCCTTTAATCCCAGCACTTGGTAGGAAGATCTCTGTGAGTCTGAGGCCAGCCTGGTCTACATAGTATGTTTCAGACCAGTCAGGGCTGGTTTGTTGGCTTATAGTGATACCCAGTTAAAAGAATTATTTTATATTTAAGGCATGTTCATTAGCTAAAAAACATTTTTCCTTACCATCTTATTCCTGTCAGAATGACTAAAATAAAAAACACCAACAATAGTTTGTGCTGGAGAGGATATAGACAGAGAGGAACACTCCTCCACTGCTGGTGGGAGTACCAACTCGTACACTCACTTTGGAAATCAGTATGGAGATTCCT